GCTTTTGAACTGTGGTGTTGGAGAAGACTCTTGAGAGTCCCTTGGACTGCAAGGAGATCCAACCAGTCCATCCTAAAGGAGAGCAGTCCTGGGTGCTCATTGAAAGAACTGATGTTGAAGCTGAAACTGCAATACTTTGGCCACCTGATGCGAAGAGCTGACTCATTTGAAAAGACCCTGATGCTTGGAAAGATTGAGGGCAGGAGGAGAAGAGGGCCACAGAGGATGAGATGATTGGGTGGCATCACCGACTCAATGGACATGGGTTTTGGTGGACTCTGGGAGTTGGTGATGGACAGGGAGGCCTGGCGTGCTGCGGTTCATGGGGTCACAAAGAGTCGGACACAACTGAGCGACTGAACTGAACTGAACAGAACAGTTCAACCTGACGTGGTAGAACAATCATATCACCTAATTTTTATTAAGTGATTATTTGTTAGACTCTATGCTATATACTTTATATGTACCCTTTTATTTAATGCTCATAATTACCAGATGAAAGTACTTTTGACATGATCCTCATCTTTCAGATGAGAAGGCCGACCCATCTCAGTTGAGTAAGACGCCAAAACTCCACAGCCAGTTAGCAACAGAGCCTTCGGGCAATGTCTTTGCTCCAAACCATTGTCATTCTGGCTCCCTGAATTGTATCTTTCTCCCCTGGGAGAGCCTTGACTCTTCTCAAGAAGAGTCAGGATATGTTTCCTATTGGACCATCACCAGTACTCCCATTTTGTGTTATCATCATTATAATCAAATAGATGTATGACTTTTTCTAAGCATATTTTGGCTCTTTTTAAAGGATTGCCTAGAAGGAATTAAATCCCAGATAAAATGTTTTCAACTGATTTTTTTTTTGTTTTCTCATTTCAAGATTTAACTATTTGTGACACTTTATGAGGAGAAAGGGCAATTGCCAAAATTCAATTTGTGGTTAAATTCAGCAGAAGAGGTTCAATTTCCACCTCTGCCCCTTGATACTGTCATAACCTTGAGCAAGACTTAAACTTTCTGAATCTCCATTTTCTTGGGAGGAATTAGATGACATGTGTAAAGCACTTATGGAGGGCCTCGCATATAGTAAATGCTCAATAAATACACCTCATCACTTGTGCCCGTCTGGCTTCTTCCCTCTTTCTTTTCCCATACCCTCAATCCATCCCAAAGTGCTTTAGGTTCTTTCTCAATACATTATGGCCTCTTCTCCCTCTTGGCTGATGTACTAGTCCACTCCCTCATTGCTGCTCACCTGTTATTCTGCAACAGTGCATCAGTCAGCTACAGCCCTCCTTTCCCACTCCACGTGGATTGTTCCCAGATGTGGTTGCACACTGGATTTCCTTGGCCATAGTTTATAGTACCAGATTCTTGGGGCCACTCAGACCTATTAAATTAGCTCTCAAAAAAACTGGATCTCAGAAAGTTCTGATTTTAAAGTCCCCCCGCCACCCCAGGTAATTCTGATGATAGAAAGGTGTGGGGGATACAACTGTGAGCAAAGTAAATACACAGGGTTACTATGTATTTGCCATTGTTCATCCAGATTGCCCTTCCTTTCTTCATTCTTCTCTCAGACTTCTTCACTTCCCACTGCTCCCTCAGCCCAGCACAAAATTAAGGACTCCCTCTTGTGACCCCTGCTTTGCCTACTGGACTGGGTACTGAAATCCAGTTTATAGAATCCGAGTCTTTCATCTTTACCCTCCCAATGCTTCCAGGATTAGCGTTTAGGTTAACCAATATGCAAATCCTCTGTAGCTGTAAAATGCCGTTTAAATAGGAATTACACTTACCTAGTAGTTGAAAGAACCCAGGACACCTCCTTTTCTAGCTGGAGAGAAGAATTTGATTCTTCAGAATGTTTACCTGCCTCTGCTTGAATGTTGCTGATACATTAGACCCTTTTTGCTTTATATAGAACTCTGCTTTTGATGAGCAATTTTAGTGTCTATTGTTTTACTTGATCTTCATAACAGTTGTGCAAGGTAGGTAATATTATGACCCGCCCCCTCTCCCCCCATAAGACAATAAGGCTTAGGGAGTGTAAGTAGATGATGATCTCTCTTGGTCTCAGAAGCTGGTAAGCCCTAGTGCCGGGACTCCCACTCCCCATTTCCTGACTCTCCCTGTCATCCCAGCTCACTGGCCGGTAGGACAGCTCCTTCTCAGAGAATGGCCCTTAATGGGCTCCCTTCATTTTGTCCTTCAGGTCCAAAAGCCGGGAATTGGAGTGATATCTGTGAGCAAAGGTGCGGAGATCGGGCTGGCCATGGCCTGCTACCTCAAGCAGGTGGCAGCCACTGTCTGCATCAATGGGACCAACGCCATCCATGAATTTCCGCTCAGGTACAAGGATCTGGTCATGGCCCCCATCCCCTCGCACCCAGAGCGCATGCAGGTCAACGTCGAGGGCGCTGTGCGCATCCGCCACTTCAAGGGCGACCCCCGAGATGAACGGAATCAACACAGTGTGCTTCCTGTTGAAAAGGCCCGGGGCCCAATCCTCTTCGTTGTAGGCGAGGCTGACGAATGCTTCAACAGCAAAGAATACGCTGAGCAGGCGCTGGACCAGCTGCGGAGGCACGGGAAAAGCAGCGGAAGGATGCTGGCCTACCCTGGGGCGGGCCACCTGCTAGAGCCACACTACGGGCCCTTGTGCTATATGTCCTGGAGCCGCGGCCTCTTCCTCCCCATGCTCTGGGGCGGGGAGCCTGAGGGCCACGCTGCGGCCCAGGAGCACTCCTGGCAAGAGATCCTGAAATTCTTCAGGCAACACCTTGTTTTGGGCAGAAGCACACTCTAAGGGGGATGATGGGGTGGGGAGACCAGGAAAAAAAAAAAAAAAGGAAGAAGAATCAGGGAGGGCTATGGGTGAGGGAAGGGGCTCTCTTGATTTCTCTAGATTCACAGTCATCTTGAGTCAACTGGAAGGAAATTGGACAAAATCAAAGAATCAGATGCATCTGAAATATTTCTGATAAAATTGTATGTGCTTTGTAAATTTTTGTAAATTGAATCTAGTTGATATGCACCAGGGTACGTTGCTCCTTCAAAATTTTGATGCCCTTGAACATTGAATAACCTTTTGTATCCCGACTGGGGAGACCTTGGATCCGGGTATTGCCAATCTAGATGAATTTCCTGGAACTCTGAAGTCCCTTGTGAAGTCATATTCTGTTTAAACTATTTTGAGTTGAATTTGACATTTGATTTGAAAAGTTCTGATACCACCATCAGGTTTAGTGCTTGCTATGGATTTCCAGTAGATATCTTAACTCTTTTTTTGGGGAGGGGGATAGGATGTTTCTTTTTCTTCCTAAAATGTATTTTGTTAAAAAATTTTAAACAGGAGTGGGATTAAATGCTTATGTGCTTCTGGAGCATTTAGTGACTAAATGAGTTATATTTAAAGTGATTACAGGAGTGCCTGGCACATAGTGATTTCAGTATCAGAGTTAGCTATTATCATTTCCATAATCCTTTTCTCCTTCTATCTGTTAATATGGTGAATTGTATTCATTGATACACTAATTTTTCTTATTCATCTAATTCTACTAGATCAGTTTCTCATCTTGACTAGTTTGGGTTTTAAAATTAAAAAATTTTTTGGCACTAACCTAGTCATTTATATTTTCAAAGAATTTCATCTCTATTTTCTGGAACACATTTCTCTCTCTCTCTCTCTCTTTTTAACATATCAACTGTCGTTTTATTTGCATGCTTTCACCTTTTACTTTGAATCCAACTTGCTAAATATTTGTCTATTTTATTGATCTTTTCATAGAACAGCTGTTGGGTTGTTTATGGGTCAAATCTAATTTTCCCTGATTCATCAATTTCTGCTTCTTTGAAATAAGTTTATTCTTTCTGTCATATTTGTGTTTTTCTGGCTTTTTGATATACAGTGTTCTCATTTTGTTAATGTCTAAGTAGTTTGTGATTTACTCCCTGCCCCTCCCTTAAACCCAAGAGTACTTTTACCAAGTATCATCCTGTAGTTAACTTGTTCTTTAAAAGGGAATCTCACTTTGTATTGGAGGGGTCAGATTGTCACCCTCAGAACCCACTGATCAAACTTAGTGTCTCTAAAAATGGTCAACTTGAAATAACATGTTTCATGATGAGATGTAATGTGGAGTGCCCAGCACTTCTTAGAACTCTTCTAACAACACTATTAAGCTTGAAGTTTTAATGTCAAGCTTTAAATCCAGTCCTTAGATCAAACTTCTTACTAATGTGGTAGCTAGTGAAAAAGATAAATGGTACTACAAGGAGACAGCCATAGATTGTCTATCATTCTATGATCTTGTCTCTTCACAAGTTAATTACCAACTGACCTGGTCTCTTTTCATAAGTTAATTGCATGGAAATTTTTGGAATTTTTCACTTTGTAGGATTTTGTTTTTCTTTTTGCATTGGAGTGAGCTGGGGAATTATTCACAATTAAAAGGGACTTGAGAGGCATATCAACCAAATGCTGTGTGTGGGACGGGTTTGAACAAAATAACTGTAAAAATATTTTTGAGGGGTAACTAGAGAAATATGAATATGACTGGATAGTAAACAATACTATGAAATTGTTATCTTGTTAGGTGTAAGAATGGTATTGGGGTTATGTAAAAAAGTAACTTTTTAGAGATGGATAAGAAAAATTTAGAGGTGAAGAGTCACAGTATCTGGGAATCATTTTAAAATACCTCAGGCATATGGAAAATGTGAGAAATTATTATATCTAGATGATGCATATACTGAGGTTTGTTTTCTTTACTTTTTGTATGCTTGCAAATTTTTAATAATGAAAGTTAAAAAATAAGATACAATTGGTATATTTATTTTTCTGCCCAACAGACAAGCACTTTAGCATGCCATACATCTTTTCTCCATGATATACCTCATTAATTTCAGATTAATTTTTTGCAATCAGTAATAATTATTTTAAATTAATTTTCATTGGAGTGTAGTTGCTTTACAATGCTGTATTAGTTTCTGCTATATAGCAAAATGGATCAGTTACATGTATATACACATATATCCCTTCTTTTTTAGATTTTCTTCCCATTTAGGTCACCATAGAGCATTGAGTAGAGTTCCCTCTGCTATACAGTTGGTTCTCATTAGTTGTCTATTGATATTTTATACATAGTAGTGTATGAAGGTCAATCCCAATCTCCTAATTCATCCCCCTCCTCCTTCCCCGCTTGGTAACCATGAGTTAGTTCTCTATATCTGTGACTCTCTGCTTTGCAAATAAGTTCATCTGTACCATTTTTCTAGACTCCACATGTACACGATATTACACAATATTTGTTTTTCTCTTTAGTCTTTTTATTCTGGCATCCATCGTTGCCAATGAGAAATCTGATTCTTGCTACTTTGTGGGATTTTTTTCTTCTTTTTCTGAAAATTTCTTACAATTTTCTCTTTGTTCTTAGTGTTCTGAAATTCCATCAGGATATGACTAGGAGTGGGCTTATTATTAGTATTTTAATTTATTTTGCTTGGTACCCCTTGGGCTGAACCTGTATCACATGTTCATGCCTAAAGTGATCACAGGTGAGGGAGATGAGACCACCATACTTAGACAATCAAGACTAACCCAGAGGTACAGTGATGGGCCAGCATCCATAGAAAACCATATCCATTTAGTAGACTGTGAACAAAAATAAGATCCATTATTAGGAAGGGCTATTCAGTTGCCAATCAGCAGAGTTTGCCCCGCCTGCTTTCACTATCTCCCCTAATTATTTCAATAACAAGTGAAAATTTGGTTGGGGGAGATGTGCTCTTCTCATTTTTGATGCATTTCAAGTATTTTCTGTAACTAATGGGCAAAGATTACCCCTCAATTAACCTGTTCAGACATTTTGACTCTCAGCATTGCCTTCTGTGTCTGTGTCCTTTGGCTGACTGCAGAAGTATTTCTAGTTTAAACATTTGTAGAATACTTATCTGTATATATGAATCCTACTAACATTCACTCTATCACATTCCCTTTCTAGGGTGTTTAGACAGTCTATCCCAAAGACAAAGGTTTATGTGCCCTTGAACACAAATAATTTATAATGCTGGAAACTGGCAGCCTCTTAGTCTCTGGATTTTCTTTATCTCTAAGGCTTCCCATTTCACTGTTTCTTTGTTGTGTCTTAACCTTGACTAGGTATTTTCCTCTCAGCCTTTGTATGTGGTTTTCACAGATTTCTATTGCTTCTGGTATAAAGTTTAATCAGTTTAAAAATCTCTGCTGCTTACAGGCTTGTTGCATAACCTTTCTCCTTTTTAATTGTACCCACATGTGTCCCGGTGCTTCTGTGATTCTGGACTTACTCCATCCCCCACAGGTGAGTGGTGATTGGTGTAGACCAATCATGGTAGTCTTTTTTCCCTCATCCAGTGATTTGTGTAAGGCACAGAACGTGGCATAATTCTGGCCAATGAGATGTCAGAGACATCTGAAGAGAATAGAGATTGCCTGAAAGAGACATCTTTGGAATTTGGAGGGAAGTTTTCCATTTGGATGTTGTATCTTAAGGTGGATGGTATCCTGAGACCATGAGGGGAGTTGGTCTGAGGACAAAGCCAACACCCAAGGTCTGAGCCAAATGAGTTGCAGAGAAATACTGGAGCTCTAATTATGTTGTTGCCATACTTGTTCCATCTTTGTATTTCTTGTTAATAGACTCAATACACTGTCTTATTTGTTTAAGCCACTTACTTTGGGCTTTTCTCTTCTTTGCTACTAAAGACGATCATGGTCACAAATCTTTCTCCCTCTTGGCAGCCAACCGTCTTTTGGATCTGGCCTGAGGCATTGTAGAAGAACAAATGGCACAACCTAATTTTTTAAATGAAAATATTGCAAGATGAATTAAAAATTAATAACCATCTTGAATTTTATGACATTTATTAGACTTTTAAAGTTTCATAAGATTATATAATATGCATAACCTGAGAGGCATGGATTGTGTTTTATTCTTTTTTAAAGTTTTTTTTTTGATTTGGACTAATTTTAAAGTCTCTATTGAATTTGTTACAATATTGCTTCTGCTTTATATTCTGTTTTTTTGGCCTCAAGGCATGTGGGATCTTAGCTGCCCAACCAGGGATAGAACTAACCCATGCCTCCTGCATTGGACGGTGAAGTCTTAACCACTGGACTGCCAGGGAAGTCCCAAGGCCCATGTATTGCTGCTGGAGGAGATTGTATTACTTTTTCCTTGTGATGATGCAATACTGGGGAGAAGTGAAACCTCTGATGGTGAGTAGAGTCACCTCCATCTTCCCAATTGGAAGGGAGCTGAAAATAAGCCATCTATATAGAAAAAATACAGACCAAAATGCTTATTGAGTATTTACTGTATACCAGAAACTTTGCCACAAGGTTTTTTTGAGTTATCTAATTGAATCTTCAGAGCAGCTTTAACAGGAGACATCCCAAGAGGCTCTGAGATGGATTAGCATTGTCATTCAGCTGGTCACAGGGTAGGATCCTGGGTTTGATTTTTAGCAATTTCAGTCCTGTGATTGCAGGAGAGAAGGATCTTTTTCAGAGCACACATAGAAGCTTTCAGATCATCTGTAGGGTACACAAGTTGGGAATTTAAATTCCTTTCATCTTCTTTCCCTACTTTGTCCAGTAACACTAGGAGCAACAAGCCAATCTTATATTTATCAGTTTGCCAAAAATGTTCTAAAGTATCATATATAAATTTACCCAGCCCTTTCATTCTTATAAGAGGTTGATGAGAAGTATTCAGGGGTGCCTTTTTTTTTCCTGTCTTCATTGCCAAGTCATGCCATAGACTATCAGTGTTCTCCTTATTACTCAAAATAGAATAACTAGCATATTTAAATCTAATCAGATTAAAGAGCCAGTTCCAGAAACACCAGAGCCAATTCAAAAAAACTCAATCTTAAAACTCTTTTTGTTTGTTTGTTTGTTTATTTAGAAACACTCTCTGTACAAAAATCTCAGTCAGAGTTCTCAAGAGAAATAGAACCAATATGATAAATACAGAATTTTTTTTTTTTTTTAAGGCTTTGGCTCTTGTGGTTACAGAGGCTGAGAAGTCTCCAAGTCCACAACCTGCAATCTGGAGACCCAGAGAGCTGATGGTGTAATTGTAGTCCAAGTCTGAAGGCCTGAGAACCACAAGAGTTAATAATGTGAACTCCAGTCTAAAAGCTGGCCGCCTCGCTATCCAAGGACAGCTGATGTTTCAGTATGAGACTGAAGTCAGGAAAAGACAGATGTCTTAGCTCAAACAGGCAGGAGGAGTTCCCTCCTTTTAAAGGAAGGTCAGCCTTTTTATTCTATTCAGTTTTCCATTAATTGGATGAGGGCCACCTATGTTAGGGAGGGCAATCCATGTTTTTACTCAGTCTGTTGAATCTCATGTAATCTCATCCAAGAACACCCTCACAGATATACCCACAATAATGTTTGACCAAATATTTGGAACTTCAGTGGCTCAGTCAAGTTAATACATAAAATTAACCACCACAGGATAGATAGTCACTAAATTATTTCCATTTTATAGATGAGCAAACCAAGCCTTGGGGAGCTTAAGTTACCTAAGCTTACACAAATATAGATGAATTTATAATAGGATTGAATTTACAGTCTTTCAGAACTCATGTAACTATCATTTTACCTGCCTGATAGCAGTATATACCCAGGTTGCAGTATCTAGGGATGAAATAATCTAATCTTCTCTTAGCTGTTATACCAGTATTACAGCTTCCACTATAATTGAGGTTGGATGTGGTAAGGGTCTTTATAATTTTTTAGTTATATTAAAAGACAGACTAGTCCAATGACAGAGGACCTTACAATACTTTAACTGATAATACCACATATACAGAAAGAAAAATTCAGACAAGCAGAAGTATGTTCTGGCCTCAGTGACAAAGGTTTAGTGAATGTCTCGCATTGCTCTGAATGAAAAAAACTGGGTTAGAGAAGAAAATTCACCAGTAAAGGAAATGTAGTTGAGTTCACAATAGAGAAGTCATCTTATCCATGGGATCAGGACTGTGCAGCAGGCTTTTCCCATGGCTTATTCAGTTATGAAAGTGAAAGTGATAATTGCTTAGTCGTGTCTGACTCTTTGCAACCCCATGGACAGTAGCCCACCAGGCTTCTCTGTCCATGGAATTCTCCAGGCAAGAGTGCTGGAGTGGGTTGCCATTCCTTTCTCCATTTCTTCCTGACCCAGGGATTGAACCTGGGTCTCCTGCATTGCAGGCAGACTCTTTACCATTTGAATCACCAGAGAATACACTATTGACCTTTAAAAAGAAATTCACGCTAATCAAGCAACATTTTAACTAATAAAATGGGTTTCTAGACACTTCAGTTACAAGATGAAGTATGGATTGTTGTTGAGTTGCCAAGTCGTGTCTGACTCTTTTGCACCCCATGGATTGTAGCCTGCCAGAACACCTTTGTCCATGGAATTCTCCAGGCAAGAATACTTTAGTGGGTTGCCATTTCCTTCTCCAGGGAATCTTCCCAACCCAGAGATCAAATCAGCATCTCCTGTGGCTCTTGCATTGGCAGGTGGGTTCTTTACCACTGAGCCACCTGGGAAGCCTAGGATGTCAACTTTTGGACACAAATGAGTGATGATGCAACCATCAATTAATAAATGTTTCTTGAGTTTACACATGGTGTGTTAAAGATAATATTTGAAAATGTTTTTACATGCTTTTATCCTCACATTTCCTTGCTCTTTTTTTCCCCTGGTTTTATCTGAAACCAAATACAATGATTAGTCAAACCCATTTCACTTGCCTTCACTAATCAAGGTTGTTTT